TGTTGGTTGATTTCCGTTGTTTGGAGCAAAAGTATCGTCATTCCTCATTATTTGGTAACCTTCATTTGCTGGCCATCTCCAATTTCACCCTCTGAATAATGCAGTCATGATTCACAGTCAGTATTCTAGTCTAGTGTGTTTAGTTCTTTAAAATGTGATTAAAGCAAAAACCCAAGAACTGAGCAGTTGTCCTGCTGCCCACAGTAGCGGCAGTGGCGGCCACAGCCGTTTCTGTCAGCTTCTAATGCACGGAAGACACTTTAGTTCTGTCCTGAGATCCTGCAGATATGGCCCGTGAACATGAGCTTTAAGTACCTATTCTACCTGTTGGTGGTGTGCATCCCACAAGGAAGGAAGCCACAGAGACCAATGCTTCTTGCCCTATTGGCAAGTGAAAATTCGCTCAATGGTATTTTATTTTAAGGCTCGGAGCAATGTCTGTCTTCCGACGTGCGGGCCTCATGGGTACCAGGCACCATTGGACCTGAGTGGCTTGTTTTGGTGCCTACAGGGTGGTGGTTTGTGCTTCCTGGAAAAGGTGGCAAGGAATTTTCCAGATTCAGAGCACCTTATAAAATGAAAGGTGTTTTATGTCTGTGAGTCACCTTTCACCTACACGGTGACTTTCAAAGGTCAGTGGCTCACATTCTGCCTTGGCCCCTGCTTGGGTTGAATTTCAGCCAGCAAGTCTCCAGCCTACAGGAGAATTTGAGATTTTTCTCCCTCCCCCATTTCTTCTGTTTTGTTCTGTGTAAACAGTTCCTGCCGAAGTAACATAGACAAATATAGCAGAGAACGCTTTTCTGGAAGATGCATGCTCCCAAAGCATTTTTTAACCATTTTTGGGAAGAATTGATCTTTGTGTGTGTTTCAGACAGACTGGAAGAGGAGGGAGGCTGTGGCTATAATGGAAGTGACATCATACATTATTGCCTCCATTGATCCGCTTTTAGTCTCCAGCCAGGATAAAAGGAAATGGCACCAGGGAGGAAGCATGCTTCATCTCGGCTCAGATCCCGGAGTGATAATGGGGTAATAATAGAACTCACGCCACTGTCAGTCTGTGGCTGCATTAGGCTCAGGCTCACTCCGTCTGGAGCTGCACTGACTTCCTTCCTCATGCCGGCCTCTGCTGAGCCCCAGCTGGGCTGCAAAGGAGGGGGGCTCGGGGCTCCCCTTGGCCTTCACCGCTTGCCAGCTGCAGCCCTGATGTTTGTGCCTGTGGAATCTTCATGGTGAGATGTGTCTGTGGCGTTTCTGATTTGAGAGGTAAATCGGCTTTTCTGCGTTGTGTTCTGCTGGTGGAAGAGAGTATGGTATCGGGGGCTGTGGTGGTGCTGATTGCCTTGGTGGAGCTCGGAGTGACACCCACCCCTGCCCCCACCCACCCCTCCTCCCCCTGCCCCCTGTCCCGGCACCTAGGAGGTTCCTGAAGTGCCAGGGTTTGTTTCCTTTCCTTTGGGCCTGCTTGTAGTTGGGATGATGGTCGGGGGGTTGGAAATTCCACATTTTCTCTCCAAGAAACTTCAAAATAGTTCAAAGTTGTGCCACTTATCTCAAGTTTTAAGTCTGGTTGGGGGGGGCAGATGAAGTTAACTTTTTTTCTTTGTTCATTTCTTAATAACCAACAACTATGAGATCTTTAGTGGTTATGGCAAGAATATACAGACTTCGACAATTAACAAATAGTGTTTGTACTTGCCTTGGCTTCCTGTCGCATCTTGTTTCTTGTGTTCGTTCATCTGAGTAAGTTTTACAGGCCTGTGCTGCCCTTTTCAAGAACCCACATGATTTGGGGATCTCATATTCTCATTTTGTCTTGAGTTTCCCAAGCAGATGCATTTTTATAATACTGAGGTATTCCCATTGCTGAAATAATAACCTAACCATAGCTCCCGGTTTGTGAAAAGGGGGAGTTTTCTCTTGTCTTGCAGCTGAATTTCAAACGTGGGCTGTTAGTCCCAGCCACAGAGGCAGATCTTGTTAGTCATATTTCAGGTTGGCTTCCCTGGGGCCCGGTGCTCAGGGGCAGGGGCCCTTTTGTTTGTTTGTTTTGTTTTGTTTTTCTTGATGTCACCATACAACCGGCACCATCTGTGTCTCCTGCAATACCTCCATGATAGCACACAGTTGGTCCCAACATTATATTAAAGTTCATTTGGTTTCTGTGTGGTTAGGAGTGGGGCATTCCCCCATGCCAGCTGCCAGGGCAGCCCACCGCCCATCATTGCCTCCCAGCACATTTGCAAGTACTTGAGATCTTTCTGTCTCTTTGCGAACATTTATCGTGCATTACTTCTTTTCCATTGTAGAGTGGCTTGACAGGGAGCAAACATGTGTTTTACAAAGCTCACTCTATTAAAATCCTCTTTTCAAGCCCGGCATCCGTGTGTGTGTGTGTGTGTGTGTGTGTGTGTGTGTGTGTGTGTGTGTGATATAGTATTTACTTGTGAATGAATGATAGTTTTATTATCTGTGGATGAAAACAGCGTCAGGCCACTAACATTTGTCTCTCCATTTCCCCATGAATTGGAGAGCCAGGTGGCCACAGGTTGTTTACTAATGGAGCGCTTTCTCCAAGTCCATTCTACAAAGGCCAGACTGGCAAGAGATCTGCAGCATTAGGAAGGGATGTTCACCACGGCTGTGCCTCTGTCCTGCCTGCCTCTAAACAAGCCTGCGCTTGCATGAGGGCATCCGCCCCGTCCTGCATGAAGGAGGGTGGATTCCTTGAAAGGGTGTGTGCCCTCACTCTTTCCCGCCATGTAATTGGAGCCAGACAAACTTAGGAAACAGCCCTAGAGGATTGAGTGCTGCATATGTACCCCCTCCCCCTCCCCCCCAGTCTCAGCTGTCCGCCTTAAAGTCAGGGGGCTTAGCCGTAAATGTTTCCATTGCGTCAACTTTGAGACACCGAAAGCTTTCCATGATCCTTTTGATTCTGTTTGGGTGCAGTTGTGAGCTCTCTGCTTGGAAGAAAAACAGCACACAGGTGTGGATCGGAGCACTTGGTTGGGCTCAAGTGTTCCCACTTCTCACTTTCAGACTGGAGTTGGGCTCAGTGTTTGAACCCAGGAGGGATAACCCAGGTCAGCCATGTGGGTGATGTCCACTGCCACAACAAAACCAAGAGAAGCAGTGGGGTGGCTTGAGGGGCCTTGGGGGTGGGGGGGGGGCGGGACACCATGCAGGAGGGTCTAGGGTGTGTGGCCTTTGGAGAAAGAAAGGCCTTGGGGCTGAGAAGTTCAGCTTCCAGCAGAGAATGGCTCCCCTGGAAATGCTAAAGCGGCTGCTGGGTCTGGTGGGTAGCCAGAGGGAAGAGGACCAAAGGGCCAGTATCAACCAGGGTTTTCAGTGATGGAAAAGAGGAGTCTCCAGGGAGGACATTCAGCTGGTGCCTGCTCAGGAACCAGAGGCCCACAAGCATCTCAGGTGCATTTGGTGGGGACAGGTGCGGCTCCTAGGGGCTGCAGGTCCTGGGCTTGCCCTGCCTTATCAAATAGCTGGGTTTCCTTAGTATCACTACAGCATCCTTATGTCCAAAGCTAGAGAAAAGGGTAGATGTTGCTCTGCCACACCTTAAAACACTTTGCAAACACTTGATGCCTCAGGAAGAGAAATGTAGTCATTTATGGACCCTTGTAGTAGGACCTCATAGGCCAGGTTCGTTTCTGCTAGAATCTGCCCGTGGTGTAACCGTAGATGGAGAAACACCACATAATAAATATACCTAGAAACCAGCGCTGGGCACTGTATCTGTCACTGGGGAAGCGAGTTCATTAAGATTCAGGGTGAGAGAGACACTAGAAATGTGTACACCTTTAATCCCAGCACCTCAGCTCCAGTCCAGCCAGGCTACAAAGTGAAATCTTTTGTGGAGGGAGGGAGGGAGTGAGCTTTTTTCTTGGTGCAACTGCCCAATCAGTGTTGCACATTTCAGGAGGGTTCAGGCAAAGCATGTATTTTAGGACAAAAGGGAGAGGCAAGAGGAGAGAAGGTGGTAAGTTAACGGCTTCTGTGTAATAGAAATTTGCAGTTGAAATCCTCTGTTGGCCTAGGGTTGGCCTACAGAAGTTTGATTTGCTCAGAAGGATAATCAGGCATACCCAGGATTAGAGTGTGCCAGTGTAGAGACTGTGGAATTTGTGTAAATAATTGTAAAACACAGACTTTAGAGTGAACCTTCTTTTTTTTCTCAATACAGGTGTATCTTGAGTTTTCTCTTCACCCTGCTGCTGGGCTGAGATGGCCAGGCAGGCAGAATGTGTGGCTCGGCTGAGTATGCCCTTGTTTGTTCACAGCCGCCTGGTTTTGTTTGTAACACACACACACTCACACATACACACACACACACTTCTCCCTCTCATTGCCCTTAGCTGCTCTGATAGCAATTTTGGTGTGAATCCTGAGTGAGGATGTGTGCTTAGGTGTGTCCATTATCTCTGTGCGTCTGCTTATCTACAGCCTGTAAAGTTCATTTTAGTATCTTAAACTCAAAAGACTATAAATAGACTCCCCGAGAAGGGGAGTGGCTGTGAGAGGAGGCGATTGTTACACTGTGTTTACTTTTCAGGGTTCAACAGGTGCCTCGAAGGCTTAACTTGGTTCGGAAAGAACCCTGAACCTACCTACTTATGGTGAAAACAAACACCTGTGGATTTGCCCAAAGTTGGGTGACCTCCTGGGTCCTTGTCTAGCCGGGGAAACATTTTGTGGCATGTGCATGCCATCAAGGCAAGGCTGTCATGAGCCATTGTGACATTCGATTAAGGCCAAGAGGGCTGAAAGCACATACCCGGCATGACAGGCCAGAGAAAGCAGGGCTTTGCTAGGCCCCAGGATGTGGACCTCTGGGGCCACAGACAGCACAAGCCCTAACGTCTGTCTGTCCGAACAAAGTCAGCACCTGCCCTCCCCGGAGTTACCCTGGCTTTACTGTAGCTTTAACTTCTTGTTGGTTGAATGACATTTCAAAGGTGAATGTTTCTTTTTGTCCTCAGCTTTCTCCAGATGAGATCATCTTGCTTCTGGAGTGTCTGTTAGAGCAGAAGACCCTGAGCCCCCAGACACTGCAATGCCTCCAGCAGACGTACGGCCTCCAGGAGCAGGACGCAGAGGTAACACAGTTGAAGCTGTGCACCCACTACAGCGACAGCCTGTGAGCTCATTGCTGGCTTCAGCTCGCATTAGGATGGAGCCAGGGACTGGGCTCCCAGCAGCAAGTGATCAGTCGGCTCTTGTGCCGGCCGGTCCTTCTCTAGCTGTCCACTCTGGTCACATTGTGCTTGTAACCGAGGAAGGCCTAAGTTTTCCCTCCTGTGAGGAGAATTATAAGGGCAGATACAAGTTTCCTAAAAGCTTGGGCAGTAGGGTGGAGTTGCTTGAATTAAGACTTGGGCAGGTCATTTTGTGCTCTGGTGGCCCCTTCCCCTTGCTCATTAAGGACACTCGGCTCAGACGTGAGGGAGCATCCTGGCTGCACCCAGCTAGGACAAGAAGGAAGCCATGTGTAAAGGAAATGAGAAACAAATCAGCCACGGTTTAAAAAGTAAAATTGAATGCTTGTGGCAAAGCATTGTGATGTGAGTCTTAATATCGTTTAGCTTATTCAGAATACAGTGCAGATCCTATATGGAGTCCAGGTTTGAAAAACAGAAAAGCACAAATATCTAATGCATTTAGTCATCCTAAGGAAAACACAAAAGTTCAAAGAGAAACGGTCTTTGACACAACGCTCTAAAAATGCAGAGAATATATGAAAACTAACTGTGCACGCCAGCCCAGCAGCCACTGGCGCCTGGGTTATTGGGCACTTGAAACTTAGGTCCCTTGAGTGGTGTGCACAGCTATGAGGACAGATAGTGTTCTCAGGTTCTCACTGTTCATCACATGGTATTTTCGAGCTTCTGTTTTAGACAGGTTGGCTTTTGTAATGGCTTTCAGAGTTAGTGGCTTCCGCTGACAAAAGCCAATTCCTTAGCAGCTCCCTTGGAAGGTGGACATTCATTGCTTCGTATTTCCCAAGTCCACAGGTTTAGGAGTGGGGAGACGCTGGCAGCCTTTACCACCGAAGTATAGATCAAATGGGCAGCTGTTGTGTTCGTTTCTGCTCTTAGCCCTTTTGTTTATCAGAGACTTCAAATGCCAGACTTATTTTTAATTAGTGTTTCAAAGATCTTCCTATTTATAGGCAGAGGGTTGTGTTTTGACGGAGTTGAATTCCACTGGAGTGGAGGCGCCTGCAAGCCTCCCCTGCCTGGGTGGGAGGGTCCTAGCAGGTGCTGAGCACCTGTCTGTCCCTTGGTGCCCGGAAGCCGTGGGCTCTGGTCCCTGTTTTCCTTCCTCCCTTGGCATGAAACACATCCTGTCTTAACCTTAGCCTGATTAGTTACTGCGGATCATCTCTTAAACCTTTGAGAAGGGAGTCGGCCCCCTTCTCACAGATGTGATCGGACTGTAGACTTCACACTTACTGTCTACACACTGAGAAAGGGGGTGGGGCTACCCAGGCCAGGCTCACCCTTAAGCAGCTCCCTTTCTCAAGCAGCTCAAAGTGAGCCAAGAGCTGTGTTAAGAGCAGCTGCTGCTCTTGCAGAGACCTGGGTTCAGGTCCCAGCACCACAACGAAGTCCCTTAAACACCCTAGTCAGTTTACGTGGTTCACCTATGCACGCTTTAACTTCTAACACAGTAATTTCAGGTGGCCCATAACCATCTGTAGGGGATCCAATGCCTCTTCCTCATTCTCCAGGCACACACACAGTATGCATACCTACACTCAGACAAACACACACATACAGTATGCATACATACATATAGTATGCATACCTACATTCAGACAAACACACATACAGTATGCATACATACACTCAGGCTAACACACACATACAGAATACAACAGAGTTTAAAGCATCATTATAATATTTTTTATCCCTTTTAAAATAGTGAGTTCCCTGTGTGGCCTTAGCAAGTGTCTTAGGCTGAAAAGCTGGCCTAAGGGGTCCATGGTCTTCCTGGATATCTTCTTTACCTACCATCCTCATAGCTCACTTCAAGAAACCCATGCATGAGGCCACACTGAGCACCTTAGACCAGGGCATACTCCAGTCTGTAGCATCTCCAACATTATCACAATATATGTATGTATGCATTATGTATGTATATATGTACACACACATACATATGAGACAAAGATATAAATATATCTTTCTAATGCAATTTTGGAAAACTAGGAAACAACATATCACTGCCTTGTGTGGCCAGTGACCAGGGTGGCCTACCCTGTAATGTGCCCTGCCTGCCCCGATGTCTAGGTTGATAGATTCAACTAGAAAAGTGACTGCTGAGAAGAGGCCACTGACGGCACCAGTTCACCTCCTCACAGAGTGGGATGCTCTGTGACATGAAAGGAAGAAGTGTGAGCTCTGTCTGGTGACAGGGCTGTCACCATCCCAGCATGCAGGAGGCAGGAGCATCAGGATGAGTTCCCAGCCAGCCAGCGAGGGCTACATACTGAGACCCACTCTCAACTACCAATAATAATAATAATAATAATAATAGTAATAAAGAGAGAGTGTGGGGAGTGTGGGGTGAGCAATACCAGGATGAAATGGGAATAAGAGCTGGGTGTAATGTGAAATGTCACACCTTATTTCCCAGCACTTGGCGGGCAGAGGCAGTAGATGTCTGTGAGTTTGAGGACAGCCTGATCTACCTAGTGAGTTCCAAGCCAGCCTGGCCTACACAGTGAGACCCTGTCTCAAAATAAATAAAGGAGCAAGGAAGCATGATAGCCATGTGTGACCACATCCATGTGTGACCACATTCCCCGAAGTACCACCCTATTCTTGAACTTTAAGTACCCGGGTCAAGGCCTCGCACTGAGCTGCATTCAGGTCCCAGAGCCACAGCCAGAGGGTGACGCTTGTCATTAGATTTCCCCTGGTCCCACTCTGCTCATCAGCACGGCATCATCCGGGGCCGTATTGCCTGCGCTGAGGGGCGGGGTTTGTTTTCTGACCACTGCTGAGTGAAGATGAAATGCTCTCTGCCCCCGGGGTTTCAGATCTGAGTTTGTTTCCCTTAGAAACCGCGCTGTGTCGGAGGGTGCCACTGTCAGGATGTGCTAGCAGATCACAGTCCTCATTGTTGACCCACACTCTGGAATGACTAGAAGTTTTCACCAGCTCTCCAGACTCCTTTTTGGGGACTTGGATGAAGGTTCCAGAGCCTTAATTTCCTGGGGATTAAAATGAAGCTATAAGTACTTTCTTCGTGGAATTGATACGATGTGGAAGCAAGGGAGACCATTGTTTCCTGGGCTGTCTTGTCAGGGGTGAGATCCAGGGCTTTGTACGTGTCGGGTACACGCTGGGTCCCTGGGCCATGACCCAGCTGAGCGTGCCCATTGGTTAATGTGGTTTCTGTTGTGTGGGAGGCTTTTCCTTCTCTCCCTCAGCTGGCACAGTTATGCTGTCTCCTTAGCTCCTGTACTGTTTTTCTCCCTGAACTGAGGGGGAGAGGGGGAAGCTTGGCCACTGGGTGTGTGTTGTCCTGCTTGTGACAACTTATGGTCACAGAATTCCTGGTCCTTGGGTCACTTGCTGTTTGGCATGTGCTTTGCACACACACACACACACACACACACACACACACACCTCTGGTGGGGATGAAGTAGGGATGGGGTGAGGGTGGGGTTCGGCCCTCGCTTTACTCTTCCACGTGTTGTGTGTGTTCAGCTTCCCAGGCTTCTCGGTGTATGAGGCTCCTCTCCCCCACTGTAGGACTCTGAATGTCTCTAGGTCTTGGCAGGTACTCCCAAAGGGGAAAAGTCCCCGTTAGGAACCCCTGCTCCAAGGCGGCAGCAACTTCACTAGGGGGCAGCCATTAAATCTCATGATGACTTGTGTAGCCCTTGTCGAAAGCCTAGAGCGTTTGGGCAGCACACTGGTTCTGCATGGTGAGCCCGTGCCGTGAACACTGAGAAAACCTCTGAGTGCGTCTCTTGCACTCACGTCTTCCTTGTTGACAGCCTGTGGCAAAGCATCCAGCCTCTCGGAGGCCGGTCTCCGCATTGCTGGCTGTGTCCGAGAACCTGCTACCCTCATCCAGTGGCTCTGGGCCTCCCTGCCCCCAGCAGGGTTTAAGTGGCATGGTGAGACTGATCCCACTACGGCCACGTGTCCCTCACCAGTGCAGTTCCTCGGTTTGAGACAGCACAGCACCAAGTCCTTGGCACCCGCGCCCCTGCGCCAGGAGGTCAAGGCCTATGAGTAGAAATATGCCGTAGCACCAGCTGCCTCTCCACAGTTGCTGGAGACCTGCGCGGGCTGCCCTGGGTACCAGTGATGCAGGGCCTCATTGCCAAGACAGCCACCTCACCAGTCACCGTCCAGCACTGTCAGAATGCATCAGTGTGAGAAAACTCTTGAGGAAGGCTTTCAGATTGAATATAAAACAGGAGAATGGCACAGAATATCGGCCGGCAGTAAGGGAACTGGTATCCAGGGTAGAAATTAAGGTTGGGCACCAGTCTTTAATCCCCAAATTTAGGAGTAGAGATTATGCCATAGCACCAGCAGAGGCAGGCAGATTTTAGAGTTCAGGGCCACCTTGGTCTACACAGTGAGTTCAAAGCCGCCCTGGTGTACATTTCACAGAAAAGCTCCCTGATGGACAACTTGACCATTGTCTCTCCCGCCTGGCAACTCACAAATCTCACAAATACAGTGTTCGGAGCAGTAGACACACCTCTGTGGTGCAGAGGGACTGGGCTGTTGTGCTCAAACTCAGGTGGCAGATAAGAGACACGTACTCCAGTGTCTGAGCCTCAGAGTGGAGCCCATGGTGTGGCTCCAACCAAGTGTCTTCTGTACGGAGATGCAGGGTGGCGCCTGTGAACTGGAGTTAGACAGGCCTGCCTGCAGCCCTGCCTCTGACTGGGAAGGGAGCAGCGGTGAGTGCTTTGCTCCTTAGCTGTTCTATGCTTTCCCTTCCTTGTGCTTGGTTCCTAACAGTGTCTTAGGACACCCTTCAAAATCGGGAAAGTGTAGCTCAGTGTTCCTCCCGTAGTTTTTGCTCTTGTTACTTGTGTTAGTGTTCACAGAAGTTTTCCATG